CTACCGGGACATGTCCCCCGCGTGGCCCAGACTGCTGCGATCGCTGCGATCTGCGGACCGCACGGAAGTTTTAGCGGCTGAACATCCCCAGTGCCGAGGTCAAGCCCGCACACAGGGCAGCGCAGGAGAGGAGCGGTGATGGTGAGGAAGGAGACAGTCTCAGCGCTCCGGAGTCTCCCCACTCCCACCGCAGAAAGGAGGATCTTACCTCCAATTCCCCAATTTATCAAAACCTTCCTGTCCTTTATGCAATCTATCAGGCCAAATACACCCTGCATAGGTAATATGGGTCCTGCTCCACTGCAGGTGCAATTTAGCCTAAAGAACTTTACTAAATCACATTTGTTTTATTCCAATTGGTACAAATGCAGAGAGTTCTACATAAATCTTCTCTTCCCCCCCCCCGCCCCCCCATTTTATTAAAATAATTTTTCAGTTGTATTCTGCACCAGTGAGGCCTTGGAGGTTAATTGTATTAAAGACAAGAAACATTTTCCTTCTTCATTACTCATCCATTCACAAAATGTTCTCGTGCAAAAGGAAGAGATAACTAGAAGTCTCAAGAGATTTCTCTTTGAAGATGCCATTTCATCTCTTTTGTAAATAAAATTACCTCACTCTTGTATGTTTCTCCTCAAGCCATGTCCTCAGCCCAGGTTTCATACATCTTTTCAAAACATCTCAGCAATGATGAACAGATGCTATTGTGCCTTCCACAGGAGGGTTTCAAAAGCTTGTTGAGAATCTTAACTACTCATCACCCTAATTTTTCACGTAAGAAAACTTACCACACCTGAAACTTAAAGGACTTTATCAATGACACAGGGGGATTGAGAGTCCTGCTATTTAAACATCATTTGGCAGCCTACTCCTCAACAGAAGAAATACAGATGAAGCCATGAAGTCAAACTTCACCCAGAATTCAGGTAAAATTCCTTCATTTTGCCTAGAGAATCCTGTTAAACTATCAGCTTAACACATCCAGATCCTCAATACTTTCCCCATGTCCAGTCTTACAGTGCTGATACACAAGATACACAACTGCAAGACGCGAGCTCAATCCAGAGAAAAAGGAACTATATAAAAATAGTAGAATTTACCTTGGAAATGAGGGCTAGAGCTTGTTTCCTCTGAGTAAATCCCTCAGTAATCACAAAAAGTCCAGATACTGCTGCAAAGTGCCTGTGTATTTTTATTAACACAAAGTTTTTCAATAACAAAATATTAGGCTTTCACCTTAAAAATTTACATCTTATACCAGTCAACCTGGGAGCTAAGCACCTAAATGGAACCAAACCAGCAATACCTGCTTACATGCTTTGCCCCACAGGTTTGTGTACCACTGGATTCTACAAATCCTGAAAGGTACAGTGACAGACAAGCAAAACAGTGTTGCTGGAGTGGAACAAAATCATGTTCCAGTAATCAGAGATTATCTTTACAGCAGCCTTGCAAAATAATCATGACTTGGTAACAACCCCAAGGCAAAAAAACTTCTTGTTTGTTTTTAAGGGCAAAGACTGGTATCTTGAGAAAACATTCAGCTAAAAGGAATTAGTGACACCTGATGGGTGGAATCTAATCTACCTTAGACATTGACAACCATATAACCAATTCTCAGAGTAGAAAGGTCCCCAAAACACAAGTTCCAGCCAGTCCCATCATCCCTCAGCCCATCAAAACCTTCGCAGATTCGTGTGACAATCTTCAGATCTACCAAATCCCCCAATTCCAAGGAGCCACAGGGAGACAGGAGAGAAAAGCATTGCCAGTGTCTCCACAGCAGCAAGGAATTTCTTCAATAAAACTGGCATGAAGGGAGGGAATATAAACAATCCCTACCAATCTGATCCAAAACTCTCTCCTGGCCCAAAATCCAACAGCTGGTTTAATGCTGAGCTTATAAGGAGAGGACACCGAGTGCTTACGAGAATTTAATTCTGTGAAGAGCCCCAATACAATCAGACAGCACCTTATCAATCTCCACAGCCTCTGCAGAAGCCTGAAAGGTCACTTTGCCTCCCAAAAAAACCAGCAAAAATCAAATGGCATCAAACTGGGAAAAATCCTTCCTAGTTCTGCAAGGCAAATTGTAAGAGTTGTTAATCACTGGATCATCCAGCCTGAATACAGTGCAAACAACAATTCAGGAACACTTCAGTCCCCTGTACATATCTGTTTCCAGGTATATACCAGTGTTCAGGCTCCAGAGACCCATATCAAGCAACTTCCTATCTTTAGCAGCTCTCCTGCTCAGTTGCATAATCTCTTCCATGAAACTATAAATCGACTTCCTTAAAAATCTATGGTTTCGGCATTGAAGAGCTGGGAAAGGTGTAAATAAAACACTGCATTTACAAAAGCTTCTAAAGCTGCATCTTCACAGCCTAAATTATTTTTCATTCTGTTTTTGTTTTTTTGAGATACAGATATTTAGATAAAAATATATGTTGATAGATATAAACATATTTATGACCTTAATAGCATATATTAAGTATATATATTTATCTTTGAGTGACCAAACTAATCTCACCCTGAAGCCTGTCCTGCTTTGAGGGTCTCCAGGAGTCTCTTCCAAATAAACTTCTTTTGTCATCCTAATTAAGTAGACGCTCATTTAGATAGATCTGTATTTAGACCATATGTTTTCTTGGAAAAGGTTCTCTAAGGATATTAATATAAGAAAAGCAATACATGGGGGATCTGCTGGAATAGCTGCCTTGGTAGCTCCAGGCCATTGCAGTCACTTGGAGGTGGCACTCAGGTACTGGCTCCCAAGGCACCTGGAGATGGAGGTGCCTCAGCAGAGGAGTCCTGAGGGTATCTGGTATCTGCTGCCCTGCTGCTGCTAGAATTCAGTAACAAAACCAAATCAGCAGCTACAATTTACCTACTGCAGCAGCTCAGGAATCCAAATTCTCACAAGGCTCAAAAAGCTCTGGGAGACTCTGAGGTAAGGATCTTCCCAGGACTGGAGCCAGGGATGCTCTGGCAGCTGAAGCAGTGAGAGATTCTGAAGCCTGTGATTGGCAGAGCAGGGGCTGGAGCAGCCAGGCCAGCATTCCCCCGGGATGAGCATTCCCCCGGGATGAGCATTCCCCCGGGATCAGCATTCCCCCCGGGACGTGCATTCCCCCGGGATGAGCATTTCCCCCGGGATGAGCATTCCCCCCGGGACGTGCATTGCCCCAGGGATGTGCATTCCCTCTGAATGAAACCAAATCAGCAGCTACAATTTACCTACTGCAGCAGCTCAGGAATCCAAATTCTCACAAGGCTCAAAAAGCTCTGGGAGACTCTGAGGTAAGGATCTTCCCAGGACTGGAGCCAGGGATGCTCTGGCAGCTGAAGCAGTGAGAGGCTCCCACGGGAGCGCTGTTTTCTGAAGCCTGTGATTGGCAGAGCAGGGGCTGGAGCAGTCAGGCCAGCATTCCCCCCGGGACGTGCATTCCCCCGGGATGAGCATTCCCCCCGGGACGAGCATTCCCCCCGGGACGTGCATTGCCCCAGGGATGTGCATTCCCCCTGTATGAGCATTCCCCCCGGGACGTGCATTGCCCCAGGGATGTGCATTCCCTCTGAATGAGCATTGCCCCAGGGACGTGCATTGCCCCAGGGATGTGCATCCCCCCGGGATGTCCATTCCTCCCCGGACGTGCATCCCCCCGGGATGTGCATTCCCCCCCAGGATGTGCATTCCCCCCGGGATGTGCATTCCCCCGGGAAGCTGCAGGAGTACCAGTCTCTCCAGCGGCGCTCCGGGCTGTTGCCCTCTGCTGGCACACATCCCACTCCCGGGCTCCTGCTCCAATCGCGCTTCACAACATTGTTTTCCTTTAGTCTTTTGTACAAATCACAATTCCTACAAATAGTGGGTTTGTTGCAACAATTTCATAATAACATTACCACCTTTAGGGCAACGACCCCTGACCATCTTCACCCCCATCTGTGACTCTGGGCCATGAGCCATTCCACTGCTCACCCACACAGCAGTTACCCACCAGCTGGAAATGTTCTTCCTGCTGCCCTCCTGACTCTTTCCTGGAGCATCAGGCACGGATGTCACCCGCAGTCACCTATGTCAGAGGCACACACTTCCTGCCCTGCAGTCATATCATATATTCATCAGAAGTTTGCAGGAAGATTTTCAGATTGATTTTATTGTTTAGAATTTAGAGTTCAAAATGAAAAGAAAATCAGGAAGAAAGCTGTATAAACAACTTTTGTGGGCACTGGAACAAAGGCAAAGGATAATATTCAGTTGCCTAAATGCTACCAAGTCTCTCTGCCTCCTTAGATTCTGCACCTACTGAGTGTACAGTTCTTGCTACAGGCTCAAAAAAAGATTGAACTTGAAAAAAGTTTACTTTATGAACCAAAAAGTGGGATTTTTTTTTACCAAAATTTTTCTAATAAGGTATCATTTTAATGTGATTCTTCATCTTTAAAATACAACCCTTAATTCTTCCTTATTACCTTCTGTAATAAGGGGAAATTATCCATATGCATCATAAAGATGTATGGCTTAATTAATATTTGTATACTATAACTTAGAGAGAACAGCATAAACAAAGCTCTTCCCATTCAGGATCTCAACACCATAACCCAAGTCTCTTGTTACTGGTTTTTCCCTGTACACTCATTTGTCTTGCTCTCTTCTTGGAATTTTTTTAAACATTTCATTACTTGCTCTTTGCAAAAGCCAAGAAACACAGCCCACCACCCTCATATTGTAACACAATGTGCTGCAGCATCAACATAAATGAGTGAAACTCACAGATGCAATACACAAAAATTTAGACAGGATTGTTTCTGCAGGCAGATTATTTTACCAGAACAGAAAAACCTGTCTCAGGCAGCATATCTTCCTTACAGGTAACAGACAGGATTATCTTGCCTTGTATTTTCTGGGCAAAGCTCTTTTTCTGTTCAATATTCCATAGTTTATTCAGACTGGGAACTGTATGTCAGGGGCTTAGCTCAGGTTTCTGTTCACTTACTCGACTTTTGTGGTGTGCTTTTCAGGGCTCAGCTTTCCCATCCTCCCATTCACACAGAGGTGCACCCTGTGAAAGAAAAAAACACATTTTAAAAAGGCATTAGAGAGTATGTGGCATCAGCTCATTACAACACTTTTGGCACAGAGCAGCTCCAGCAATAAAACAAACCCAGCTCTTCCTTCTGAAGGTGATGTTTCCCAACTCCCTCTCATCTGACTCCCCAATATATCAAAAACAAGAGCTCCCCATTGCCACCACCTACACCCAAAGCCATCGTAGCATCTCCAAAACACACTGGTGCTGATTCACCGCCAAGCTCACGCCTCAAAGATTTAAAAGTAAAATTGATACCACACAGAGGAAGTTGAGGTTTTAACTGGTGCTGGGTGAGTAAAAGAAAATTCCCATAACATCTAAATTATGTCATTTGAGAAAAAACAATTTGCCTGCATTTAAGACTGCTGAAAGTAATGGAGGGATGGGCCTAGAGAGAAACGGCATACCGACTGCAAGGGCTGGAGCTCCTTGTGCTGCTGGGCATTTCTCTTTTTCAGGACACACCTCCATGAAAGTAACAGTAGAAAGCTGGCACTACCCTTGCAGAATGCAGCTGCTAACCACCCTATGCAAGAGGCATGAGCAATGACAACTCCAAACATCCTGCAGTGCAGTTGGCATCTTGGGGAGAAGTCCTGACCTTGCAATCAGGACTCAAAGGAGCCCCTTCCAATAAACACAGCATCATTATTACAGCAGTGGTACAAAGAAAATAAACAAGTCCAAATGAAATCTCACAATGAAGGACTTTGGCCAAATTTGTTACCCAGTAAATTTAAAAGATTACTAAAACCTGAAGAGGTAATAAATAAGTACAAGGAGATAACTGGGGATTTAGCATCAGGAATCTTTCACAATGCTGGACCCAGCCCAGGAAGAGCCAGTGAGCCTGAAAAGAGAGGACAGCCCTTCTGAGGAGGGAGGGGATCTGGAGGATGAAATTGGATGAACTATTTCAAAACACAGCTGATAGTGCTTGTATACAACAAGGTAAGCACAGCCTCCCCCCAGGGCCATGCCCTGCCCATGCTGCAATTTGTTCATCAGGGTGTGTGGCTGGGAGAGGGAGGCTTCCCACTGGAGCTGGGTTAGTGTGCAGTACAGAAAACAAGATTATTGATCCACAGAAAAAAAAAGTAAAAAGCACATGAACTTCCAGTCCCAAACTACTTGTGCATTTTACCTAGCACTGCTTTAATCCACACCTGTGCTGCAAACAGGTTCAGTACTCCTGAACTTTATCCTTCCCAGGCAGTGCTGCAGTGACTACACTCACACTTCCTTCCCCCCAGGGTTCTGTGGAATGCAAATTCTCTTACAAAAGAGGGAAAGTCCATTGTAAAGCTACAGAAAGCAACAAAAATTATAGAAATAACAGAAGAGACTGACATGGTGCTCATCTTTTATATTGACTGGATTACAGACTAACAGTATGTTTTCGGATGCATGACTTTGCATGTCTTTAAATTCAAAGAGCATTCCCAGGAGAACAGGGCTTCTGTGAGACAAACCAGTTGGCAATTCCATGGTACAAAGTAGCATTTGAACAAATTATGTACTTTCGGATTCGTCAGCTCATTTTGCTTCTAAGGAATTTTTCTGCAATGTTAATCAGAGATTGGTACTTTGATGGTGGTGAGCAAATGTGCATCTTGACATATTTCCAGCCAGAAATGTAATTCCCTTCTAAACTGGCATAGATTCCTCACTGCATTACTCATGAAAAGAGGTATTTATAGTAGTTTGATGAATATAATATGCACCAAAATTGTACACAACTCAACATAGCCCAATTTTAATTTTTTTTTAAAAAGATGAGCTATTCTTTCAAATCTGTGTAATTTCCATCTGCGAAAGCATTTGGGAATGAAACCCTAAGCATCATGCTAAGAGGGTTAATATCCAGATGCCTCAGACAGATGGCATTATTAGTCTGCCTGGGCCTGACATCTAGTTTTCCAAGTTAAGGAGCTTTGGTTCCTTGGATGGCTGACAATCTGAGAATAGCGCTGCTCTAAGCCTGACGTTTACTGTAACAACAACAGGCAACATTGCAGCTTTGCCTCAAAGACTTTTAGCAAAAAGAAGTTACACCAAGATTAACCACACTTAGAATGTACTCTAAAAAATGCTGTTGCAGCTTTAGGTTAGGACTCCTACTGGCAAAGGCTGAACCACAGAGAACAGTACTTGAATTTTGGTTTTTAAGCTGGCTGTTTTTTTCTTTTGCTACAGCCTAGAGCTGAACTGTACCATCTTTTTAACTGTTCAGTCTATTCAACAGGTAATACAAGAAATAGAAAAATCTAAGAATATCTCTCTTCTGCGGTGAACTACAGCTTCACGGTTGTTCTTTCAGGGTTCCCACTTCCCATTTTCCCAGAGAGATGTTTTTAAGGGGAATATAGAGTTTATAGGATTAAAAACTCTGAGAGCCACATGAAAAAGAGGTATCAGATCAAAAGTCACTATTTCCACCCATTTATATATAACAGAAATTGGTGAGAGTTCTGGGAGCAGAGAAGGTAAAAAGACTAGGATTTGTCAAAGAGAACAGCAATGAGAAAAGCACCCAACTCCATCAGCCTCTTACAAGTCCTCATATACAGGTAAATAATACAAAATTCCCAGGAAAACATATATAGCAGGAAGACTTTCATCTTGTAATGAGAAATGCACATGTGACACTCATCAGTAGTAATGCTTACATTACAGCATAAATAAATATTCATTAAAGGTAAGTGGAAGTAGAAGTAACATCTGTGTGTGTGTATAAATGCACATTCCAGAAATAACAGAGCAGTAATGCTTCAACAGGAGACCTAAAAAATGCCCATCAACAAAAGCAAATAGTGCTTGTTCAGGCTAGCTCAGAATCCTTGTGGTGTGCTTGCATTGTGAAATACATTTTCAAGTGAAGCAGGGATACAACTGTTTTATTCATTAATACAAAACTAACAAGCAGAAAACTCATCTTTAAGGGACACATACAGCAGATCACAGAATCAGTTATGCAAAACATGTTAAATAACGCTTTGTTTTGTAAAGTATGCCTCTGGCTAGTGTGAAAGACTGAAAATTGGGTGTTACACTTCTAATCACCTAATATTAATCCAAGGTATTAAACATATAGAGTTTGAAAAAAAAACTGAAAATGCCTTCTTCTGAATAGCTCAGAAAGTAAAAGGTCTGTAACAATGTAAACCACATAAAAGTGGTATAAACTTTTGATTACACGATAAACACTAATCCATAGTAGCTACAAGAAGTTAAACAATCCTAATCTAAAGGTTTGGATAAACTGCTTTCTATCAGAAACCCAACCCTCTTACAGACTGTAGGAGCAAAAGCCCATTGTCACAAAACACACCGTGTTTTGTTCACTGTGTGCACATCAGAGGGGTGTCTTTCAAGCTATTTTTTAGGGATTAATGACCAATATAATGATTTAAACCAAGATTTTTCATTTCAAAATAAACATTCTGAGGTATGTAGAGAAAGGAAGCTGCTCTCTTTTCACACTCAAATGAGAGGTTAAGGTCCTCAGCACCACTCAGACCCTTTTTGGCAGCAGTGGCAGTGCCATGTTGGGATGGCAGTATCAGCTGACAGAGCAGGGTAATAAACCCCTTTTTTGACCTACAACATCCAATTAGACCTTCCAATGCTAAATGAAAGCAAAATTTGCTTTACAGGCATCTCAGCTGAGGGTGTGGGGAAGAGAAGACCGTAAAGCATTTGAGAGCTTTCCTATTTTAGCCATTTTAAGTATTTCTGCTTCACAGGTCGTTAAGTCCACAGTGCAAAGTATCTGGTAGAGTTCAGACACACCTCCTGTCAGTGCCCAGCCGTGCACACCCTCACCTCCCCACAGGGCTGGGAGAGCAGGAGAGCCTGGCACTGCCAGAGCCAGTGCTGGAGCCGGCACTGCAGCTATTTTAACATCCAGCACAAAAGCTTGCCCAGCTCTGGAGGATAAGGGTTGTTTGTTACACTACAGAAGTCTGCGGGACAAGACACAACTTTTATTTTGCAAGTGTGTCACACCATCAGTGACCCACAGAGATTTACTGCCATGGAAGCTGTCTGAGCCGTTAGCACTGTTCTAAAGCACATTTCCAGCACCTGATGTTAAAAAAACACGTGGAGGTCCTTCCACATATCACTGCACTACATTTACAGGTGTTTAGCATGTTTCTTTTTAATGCAGTAGTAGTCAGTGTTATGAAAGTTTAAGTTAGGCTACTTTTATTAGCCAAATAAAATTTACAATTCAATAACAAATTGTACTTTAGAGCAGACATGAACACCCACAACTATTAGAAAACTATGTACATCACAACACACTGAGTTCAGTGACACTGCAGTATGAAAAGTTTGGTTTTGGGAATTCCATTTTGGTCATGCAGATTACAAAAATAAAAGAACATCTGTGTTTTAAGAAAACTACCATGTTTTTACTTTATTAAATGCTGAAAGCAAACTAATTGCTCTTATTTTCTATTTCTTACAGGTGACATCAACACAATGGAGCATTTGGTCCTGAACAGAAGGCCATTAACTTACTGAGATAATTTCAGACATAGGAACTTCAGAATTCAACTACAAACTAAGGAACAGCAAAGTTATTTTATTTCTATCTTCGTGACCTTCCTAAAGCAACTGTGAAGTCACAAACTTATTTACATGCCAGCCACACACCTTATTTCAGCTCAGTTCTTCCTATGCACCTCTATGCAGACAAATCCACCCAGGCCTCAGAAAATCCATTAAATACCTTTAAACACAGGAGCAAAGCTTTATCAACAAACCTCCTATAACTAGGAACTGTTTTAGAAACTGGTTTATATTCCAAGCGTCCTGAAGTCACTGCAGCTTTAACGCCACCCAATACAGGTCTGCACTTTTCTGTATTCCATGGTACAGCCTGGCATTGCTGCCCCTTCCCCAACCTGTGCTCACAGGATCCTCTCCAATGCCACCTGCAGGGTCACAAGCTCTCCTTCCCAAGAGACCAGGGCCACAGAGCAGGTGCCACCTACTCAAGCCACCAGAGAACATGGTTAAAGAGGTGACAATCTTCTGAGGGTGACACTAGGCAGCCCACTCCCTAATCCACGTGTGATTTTTGGGATCAGCTCTTTGTCCTAGCAGACATTAGTCCTACAAGGACTATTGCACACAGGTAACAGCACACTTCAGCAAAGCACTTCCCAAATTGTCAAATTTCACAAAGTCACTTTTTTAAAAATCTACTTGCTTCTAGTATCAACATATTCTGTCACAGCACATAACATGAAAATATCATAAAGCTATAGCTGCTGCACAAACCTTTAGCTTCCTTAATCAAATGACAAGACACATCACAAAAGTTAATTTAACTCGTTTCTCTGCAAGCCAGGCTGTTCCTTCATAAGGTTAAGGCAACAACATTGCAAAGGACTAAATCATACCCCTAAAGTAACACACAACCCAGAACACTGCTGCTCATTTCAGCTAAGAACAGGAAACTGTGCTTCAAATGAAGTTCAAGGATGACTGCCCAACATGGCTGTAAAGTGCAAAGGTACAGAAAAAGCCTTCAAGTTCAGTGAGCTGAAATAAAACCACCTGAAGCTGTGCAGGTGCAAGAGCTGGCACTTGCAGTGTTTTACAAACTCAAATTCTAAAACTTGACTTACAAAAACGTATAAGAGATGCTGGTGCACAACAGTGACTAACAGGTTTTTGAGATAGAAAAATTACAATATAACTGCAAACAGCAAGTTATTTGGAACCTATTCATAAAAGCTCAGCTAAGCCAAAGAAAGCCAGTCTCCACAATCAGGAGGAAACTCAGCTCTCAGTTTAAATCCTGATGACACCAAGAGGTTGTCCTGTTTAAGCTCACAAAGGCAGTCAAGGTGATGCAGTTTCACTTCTAATAACAACAACGCTCATTTCAATTTAAATCATCATGAAGTTCGATTGATGACAAATAGTAACAATACCTTGAAATTTCATTCTAAATTCTTCAGCCCAGAAGCACCAAGCCCTACACATTTAACTTTTCACTGGAATCAGTGGGAATTATATGCCCAATATCTTGCATATCTGGAGGAAAGCAAAAAGCAACTTTTATGATGCAGTCCCATGAAACATCAGCATTCCAAGAGCTTAGAAACCTGAAGTCAGAATAACTTTGTACTTTTTGTATGCATGCCCCACATCATATATACTCTCACTCAAGCATATAAGGAATTCAAATATTTTATTTGATATCCATAAACCCATAAACGTTGCTATTCTATATTTCTATGCAGGAAGGCAGTTTCCCCCTAAAACATTATGCTTTTTAATAAACAACAAACTTTAATTCTATTGCGTGAAAGGGCTACAAATATACATTTTTTAATCAAGCAGACTACACAGATATCTTTGCTTTACAACTGGCACCTATGTTACTGATACACTTGCTGGCTCACTTCTCAGAGCTCTTTGCCCAGTTTAGATCACCACCTTCTGAAATATGGGCAACTGCAATTATTACTTGCTCAATTACGTGCTGAGGCAGGTATTGCAAATCCATTCCTTTCCCCCCCACCCAAGCAGCAGTCAGGGACCCCATCTTTATTCACATGCAGGTGTCACCGCATTCCACACCGGTCATCTAGTGGCATAAAACGACTTTCCAAAGTCTGGTACAATCGTCAGCAAGCCAGTTTTACTCCTGCTTTAAGGAAGCCCACAGCACGGGGCTGCCATCCTGACAGCAGATGGAGCTGCGAGGGCTCTCGGGGAACTTTCAGGAAAGACAATAGTTCCGAGGGAAATCTGTTAACCCGGGGCTAGGAAAACAAGTATGCCTTTAATAGAAGAGATAAATGTCGACCCTTTCCTGGAAGGAATCACACACAGACAAACCAAGGACTTGAAAACTAAGCAATAAGAAATTCTGAACATTTTATATGAATGAAGCACATGCTTAACACAAACTATTTCTTCAAAACTACACAGTACATACGTTGATGGAAAAATCCTATAGAAAAAATTGACCAACCATGTCAGCACGTCAAACTGCCTAGTACAAGATGGTGGATGCACACAAACTGCCAAAGTGAGAACGAGTATTTAAAAAACAGACCACATCCACGGATTAGTACTTCAAAAATTTCTCTGTCGAGTGCTTGAAAGCCACTAGCAAAAAAGTCAGTTAGGACCTTTACTGGCAACAAAATATTTACTACTCTAAGTACACAGAGATTTTAAAGCAGAGGAACACTTGCTTCAAACCTAGAAAAGCCTTAAAACCGTACGGAATTGATCCTAGGAAAAAAAATTAGACGTGTAAAGGTCAATGAACACAATGATTTATTTAAAAAATAAAAAACGTAAAAACCATTTTTTCTTCCTTTACAGAAATGTTAAAAGTCAGTCATGGGATCCGAGTAGCTTTTGTAGAAAAAAACGTAGTATCCAGGCATCGAGTCCTTACAACAAAGGAAGTTCCCCCCCAACCCGCCCCAGTTTTTACTCCAGATCAGCAAGACACTTCCCACCCCGCACCCCCCAAAAAACAAATTAAAACAAGACATTTTTCGTTGCTAGTATAAAAACGACCAAGGTCCAAGTAATAATAAAAAAATAGAGTCCATCAATGACTGTAACACAAAATATGTGTATGTGGGGCCCAGTCCATCTTCAGAGAGAAAGAAGTGGCACAGGCAGCAGAGGCGACCCTCAGGGGGCATTTAGGAGCCGCTCCCACAGCAGGGAGGCATTTAAAAGGAGCTGCCCTTCGGCGAATGAGGGGAGAAACCATTTGGAAGCTGCCCCGTATCGAAGGGAGGGCTCTCCACGCCCCCCCATCAATGGGTATGGGCGCTCCGGCTCAGAAAGAGCCGCCCCCGTAGCCTCCCCCACCATAGCCTCCTCTGTACGGTCCACTGTTACTGCGGCCCCCCCAGTTGCCGCCCCCTCCTCCACCTCCTCCGCCGCTCTTCATGGGGCCGTAGGAGGACTGGTGCTGGCTGTAGCTGCCGAACCCGCCGTACCCGTTGCCGTAGTCTCCGCCTCCCCCTCCGCCGCCGCCTCCGTAGGAACCGCTGCCATAGGAGCCGTACCCGCCGCCTCCTCCCCCGCCGTAGCCGCCGTAGCTGTTGTAGCCGCCGCCTCCTTTGGAAAGCCCGTTGTGATCCCGGTTGCCGGAGCCGCCGCCGCCCCGACCCCTTCCTCCTCTGCCTCCCCGGGAGGGCCTGGAAGAGCCGCCGCCTCCCCCGCCCGCCTGGATGTCCTCCTTGGGCACGGCCTTCTTGACCTCTACTCGGTGGCCCTGGATCGGGTGGAACTTGACCACGGCCGCCTTATCGGCGGCGTCGTGGTTCTGGAAGTAGACGAAACCGAAGCCGCGCTTTTTCCCGCTCTGTTTGTCGGCGATGATCTCGGCCTTCTCCACAGGACCGAACTGGCTGAAGTGCTGCACCAGGTCCCCTTCGCCCACGTCCCCTTTGAGGCCGCCCACGAAGAGCTTCTTCACCTTCGCGTGAGCGCCGGGCTTGGCCGAGTCCTCCCGGGACACGGCCCGCTTCAGCTCCACCGCGTTCCCGTCCACCGCGTGGGGGGACGCGGCCATGGCGGCGTCCGCCTCCTCCACCGCCGAGTAGGTGACGAAGCCGAAGCATCGGGAGCGCTTGGTCTGCGGGTTGAGCACGACCACGCAGTCGGTGAGGGTGCCGTAGGCCGCGAAGTGCTCCCGCAGCCCGGCCTCCGTCGTCTGCACGTTCAGCCCGCCGATGAACAGCTTGCACAGCTGCGAGTTCTCCATGCTGCCTCCGGTGCCGCGCCTGGGCCTGGCGCCGAGACTCCTCCTCCTGTTCGGGGGCAGCTCCGGAGGTTTTTTCCCCTCCTGCTCCGTCTTGCCGCTTCTTCTCCCTGCGAGCGACGCGACCTCACGGCTGCGGCGGCCGCCGGCGGTAGCTCCCTCGGCGCGGCCCGGCGCCTCCGCTCCGCCTCACCTGACCGGCAGCACAGTCGGGGCGTCCCCGGTGCCGCCGCTCCCCCGGAAAGGCGGGCGGGGGTGGGCGCGAACACAGGCGCGCACAAAATGGCGGCAGCAGCTTCTCGGGAGCGCGGCCGGCGACTGGTGCCCACACAAAGGGGCCGCCGGGAGCCCCGCCCCTCGAGCCTTCCTCCACCGCCGTCGCAGCCAATGAGAGCGACGCACCGGCACCGTCCGCCACTCATCTTCAAGGGGCGTGGCTCAGACAGCGATGGACGTGTGCAACAACCAATGAAAGGGCGCGACCTCCGCAAAAGTCCCGGAGTTTGCCGACGACGGACGCGGCGGGCAGCCAATAGGAACGCGGGACGCGTTCCGCGCGCGCCGGGTAGATGGGCGGGACATGCTGCGTCAATGCGCCTGGCCCGCTGCCGACAACCAATGGGACGCCGCCTCCGGCCCGGCGCGCGCTCCCTCGCCGTTGAGCCCGCCCCTCGGGGGGCGGGGCAGCGGTCGGGGGGCGGGGCGCGCGGGAGCGTTTGAACCGCGGGACCGTTGGGCATCCCCCGCGCGCGCCCCCAATGGCGGAGCGCGCGAGCGGCTCGGGGCCTCCCCTCAGAGCGCGGCAGGACCCTCGGCTCCCTTCGGGCCCAAGCTCCCCGCTCCAGCCCGCAGCACACGGACAGGATCGCGTCCGGACGGCTCTGGGTTATCCCCAGGGAGGCACACTCCACATCCCCTCTGTCCCAGGATTGGTCATTACGCTATAAATAAGTTCTTCCTCACGTTCATGTGAAACTCGCTGTGCAGCTGTTTCTGCCCTGCCTCGTGTTGCCGTGGCTGGCACAGTGAAGCGCAGCCCGGCCAGCCTCTGGGCACCGCCCCTGTGGATGCGGACACAGCCGGTGCCCGCAGCGGCGGCACCCACCGGGCACGGCCCCGGCCGGGCTCCGCCTCCGCCCCCGTGCCCGCACCTCAGCGTCCCTGTGCCCTCACACCTCAGCGCCCCTGTGCCCGCGCCTCACACCTCAGCGCCCCTGTGCCCGCGCCTCACACCTCAGCGTCCCTGTGCCCTCACACCTCAGCGTCCCTGTGCCCTCACACCTCACCGTCCCTGTGCCCTCACACCTCACCACCCCTGTGCCCTCACACCTCACCGTCCCTGTGCCCGCACCTCACACCTCAGCGCCTCTGTGCCCTCACACCTCACCGCTCGCCGTCCCCAGCCGCTCCGGACTGCCCTCCTCGGGGCTTAACCCTCCACTCCGCCTGCTCCTGTCTGCTCCCTGGCAGCCGTGGCTGTCCCCTCGTTTATGTCCCACTTCCCCTTGGCAGCCTGCTCCCAGGGACAGGATGGCAGGAACGGCCTCAAGGTGTGCCAGAGAAGGTTTAGGTTGGCTATCAGGGAAGAATTCTTCACGGAAAACACTGTCCAGCCCTGGCAGAGCTGCCCAAGGCAGCGGTGGAGTCACGTCTCTGGAGGGATTTAAGACAGTGCGGATGTGGCACTGGGGTCACGGTGCAGCGGTGGCTTTGGCAGTGCTGAAGGAATTCGATGATCTTGAAGGGCTTTTGCAGCTCAGACCTTTCTGTCATTCCTTCTCACTCACTCTTCGTGCTACTGTTTCCTCCTCTGCTTTCCCCTTCTCTTTCCAACCTTATTACAGCCTACTCACCCTTAGATCCCTCCTTAGCTCTGAAAAGGAGGTGTTTTCCCAGAGAAATGATTAGAGCTGTTCAAGAGTGTGCAAGCCCTGTGGAATGACAAATAGTGAGATCATTTTCCTTTTTTTCCCCTCTTACTTTTATAGTACATTAAACATTACTGTCATGAAGACAGCAGCATTACTTTCAACTTAAGTGAATTTTTCATTAGAAAGAAGATTTTTTTTTTTTTTCAGTCTTGCAGCCACGAGGGTTTATATTAAAAATTAAGCAGGAGCTAAGAATGGCTGCCGGTTTGCATGAGGCACTGTCAGGATGTAGTTCCACATTTTCCTGGACTGATTCTGCCTTTTCCCCTGTGCCAGCCTTGATGCTTCTGCAAACACACAGCGATCCACATAAGGGAACTGAGTCAGCCATAAATAGTTTTATCACGACAAAGGATTTGGTTTTCAGCTGCCTCAGCTTTCTGAAACATTTTTTGTGTGACCTGCTGGTGCTGGCAGGAGGGAGGAATCAGAACTGCAGCATCCCCCTGATGGGGATCCATTGGAAATTGTGTCCCCCTTGGAGACACAGACACAAGAGGAACATTGGCTGTGCTGGAAGGTTGCTTAACCACAGCCCCAGAGGAAATCCAGAGAGGCTGAACATGCTTTTGCCTCACAGGCTATGATTATCATAACCTGTAACATTGGTACTTGCAGTACAGTAATCTGATTTTACTCAGATTGGATTTTTTTTTTTTTTTAATGTTTTAGCCATGTCTATAGTAAGAGTAACCTATAAAATGACTGTGTGACAATCACAGTCAGGAAAGTTGCCATGGATTTAGACCCATTTATCTCAATGCATGAAGCTGACACCATCATTTTATCTAGTTTAAGAAAAGAGAATATCCCATAATGCCACTGAAATATTTGTGGTTTTAAAATAAACAAACATATCCTACTGTATTAAAAAAAAAAAAAAATTAAAAAAAAAAAAAAAAAACCAAAAAAAAAACCTTCCCAGAGGCTGTCTGCAAGCTGCACATAAATTACAGGAAACACAAAACTATTTTGCCTACCTAGTTATTGTAAGAGCTGTATGACCCTTCCCAAGATAAATTAGTATGTGTCACGTGGAAAATAATGCATGAGAGTTTTATAGATCTATAGTAATTTAGAACAAAAAGGATGAAAAATTAAGAGGAGCTAATTACGGCCTCAAGAGATGACAAAGAAAACAAAGCTTGTTTACAGCACACTTTCTCTCCCTGAAAAGACAGACAAGTAGGCCAAGGAACAGATCAAAGAGAAAGGTCACAGCTTGCATCACGAGGAGATGAGGGTCTTCAAGATGTGAGTAAATCAGTAGGAAAAATCAGCCACTGACTCAATTCAGGTGTAGCTCAAATCCTTCCTCTTCATTTACACTTTTAACTGGTTGGTTAATGAAAGGAAAACACCTTTAAGACACACATACCCATGTCTTGCAGGTGGAAATGTCTCCTCTGGAAATGCACAAAGGCCTGCTGAGGCACCCAGTTACCTGAGCTGTGGAAAAAATCACTCGGTGCACATATTCCCGGGAAGCAGGTGCCTTTCTGTGCTCCTGAAATGTGCTTTTTCCTCCAGCTGTGTGAACCCACAAGACACACATGCTGCCACAGTGTGAGTGCAGAACCAGAGGTGAGTTTCACTGTGTGTGAGATGTGAACCACAAACACTCCAGCAGCCACAGTAACTTCCCCACAGAATTTTTAAACTGCTTTTTGCTGTAAACTAGTGAATGCATAATACCAGCCGATGGATATAAAAATTCTTAGGAAAGTGTCATGCAAAAGAAATACATGCTTTTCACTTTCTGACAAGGCAGTTGCAGCATGACATTTTTTCAATTCTGATAGCAGCCTATAGAATAAAAAAAAAATATCAGCAGCTGAAGTTTCTAAAGTTAGGTGCTTTTTCAGATAAAAACTCCACCTGTATCATTACCTAAAGGAAATGTGTTTCTCAAACCAGAAGCATTGGCCAAATAATGCCAATTAAATTAAATGTCTTCATAGGACATTTTAATTAGTGTTTTAGGAAGAAGGAAATCCAAATCGTTTGCATGCATACACCTTTCTAGTTGTTCAGAAGAAATCATTCTACCCAGAGTCCACAGGAGGGCAATGCTGCTTAAGAGATTGAAACGCAGAGACATCTGAGCAGTCCCTTTCCAACACAAATTCCTGTGCTACCATATATTCTTAGTAAAAGCTGATGCAAAATAAAATATTAAGGAATTCTTTGTATCAATTTTTGTCGTTCAAGAAACATAACTTTCTCATGCTATTTAATGGGTCCAAACTGCCAAGACGGAAAATGAATAATTAAGCTTTGGAAAAGAGCATGAAGGACAATAGAAAAACATAATGAAGTCAGAAGTAGTTTGTAAGTTACAAATATTTTATCTAAACCCTCATATAAACACAAAGTCATATCTTTTTAACTAGCTTCAACATCTTTAGTTACATCTGTGACTTCCACTGTTGGCAGGCATTGATTATTTTTTTAAACAATTTATGTATAGCACATGAATTTTTAATGAGTTTAAGTAATTTTTTTAGTATAGTACAATGCTCTAGACTTAGGTTTAGTTTGACCTTTCAGCAGACAGAAAGCATTTTGAAGTTTCATGCAGACTGTTTGCTGACTTAGTTCTGCATTCACATTGAAGACTGTAATGCTATCACCTTAACTCCACACAAATTTCACCCAGATTTTTCTAACCGTACATAGGTGGGGACAGTTGGAAATACAAGGGATACATAACTTCCCAAATCACTCTGAGATACAGACAGAGGCAAAGATTTTTATTTTCATCATTTCAATGAGATATTATTGGACTTTTGGAAGGCTCACTCCTACCCAAATCAACGCCTCAAGCAGAGTGTAATTGTTTAGTTCATAAGGAGCATTGCAAAAATACAGCAGCACCATGAGCATTCCCAGCCTGGCACTTTGCTTTAGTTACAGGTACAAAAAACTTCTGAAAGATGTACAGCTGTCCTTGAGAGAGCTGTTGCCTTTTTGGCAAAAGTTTATCTTTCACTCTGTTCTGCTGTTTGCACTTTCATCTGCATAAACATCAAATCTGTGATCTTACTTTGGAGCCTTTCATGAATTAGTAGTGATCAGGAGAGGGGTTTTTGTTGGGAAAGATTTAAAAATACTGAGAGGCAACTAGATAGACTTTTACCCCTCTAAAGTGTGAACATGACACCCTTCAGGATAAAAATCTCTACCTTGTGTAAATTCAGATGGGAAATAAAACACTACCCCTCTCTTGTATTTGCTTAATGCAAAGGAAGATAACCTACAGATAAAAAGGTAACAGAATAACCCACAGGTACTATTTCTTCAATAAGTAGTATCAAAGTTTATCTGTTAAACAAAATCTTCCTGGAGCCCTTTCTAAGGGGAGTTTGCTGAAGAAAGAAACACACCTTTGTGAAGGGTGGAGTGGAAAGTCATCAGAGAATTGAATTTGCATCCTTTTCTTTGGATTTAAGTTACCGTTTTTCCTTAAACCCTGCCCTCCCTCCTCTTCCCTCTGAATTTCAATTTCTCTTTTCCTTTTTCATCTTTTCACTCTTCTTTAATAATTCATTATTTCCTTTCTTCTCTTTCCTATAATTGTATATAAAAGCTGGCCATATTTTGAAGTGATGGGATGAAAGTAAGGCTGCAAAATATGGTCTCAAGTCAAGCTTCTTGTGAAGGATCAAAGAATGTAGTGATGCTGAGACTGATGTAAGAGGGGAAAATTTTCACTGTATCTTAGTCTGAGACAGACCAGGACCCTAAACTTTGCCAACGAAAGACCTGGAGCCAGCAACAATCTCAGCCACTCTGATCTTTTTCACCTGCGAATTTTTCATGATGTATTTTCCAATTAAATTAAAATATACTTGCTTTTAATTTTTTCCCCTTAGCTATCCCTAGACTCCAACTCTTTCTCATTGCACAGAACCTCTGTGGGGTGGGTTTGTGGTGCTGTTGCACGACGGATGTTAAACTTTGAACACAGCAGGAGGAGCTGTGCTGTGAAGCTCAGTAAGTACCTGCCTGAAATTAGCTGAAACATATCCTTGCTATTCAAGACATTTTAAAGTGAGGTGGTGTGAAGTAAGACTTTCTAGACAGGAAATAGCAATCTAGAATTCCTGGGTTTAATCCAGAAAATAAAAATGCTTGTTACAGTTTGAATGCTTGTTACAGGCAGGGTTTAAGGAAAAATGCTGGAAAATTGAAACAGACTGAGATTAATGGGAAAAACTTTTTGATTATTGAGGTATTTTGTAATTAACAGTTAGGACACTGAAAGATGTCATGCCATGAGAACAGCAGGGTTTGGTGCTCAGTGTCATTATGAAAAGACTCCAGAATGGGAAAGAACAAACTAGAGATACAAATTGTCATATTCCCCCCAAATCTGTGAGCTATTGAAATAATTCATTTTTTGGCAGAGACAACTTTTGGAGAAGTTCTAGAAAACTACAAAGACTTGAATCAGGGTTTGGAAAGTGGAATCTATTATAAAATATGAATTTATGCAGTCACACTCCTATTACAATTACTCATATATCTTATCTCTTTTTCAGTGAGAAAAGTAACTTGGCTGACCCAAAAATTAAGATGCTAACCTTCCAGCCAGGGAGTTTATTCATCTCCATCTCAGCTCTATGCCAACTGAATAAGGTCCAGAAATTAGCCAACAGTTCATGGCATGACACAATTTTAAAAATTAATATGTTATTATAAGTAACTCATTTATAGTTATATCAGATTTTTAAACAGTTGACTTTTCATTCTAGTCATGAGCTAATTGAGCATCAAAATTGAGATCAGGCATCAAGGATATTGCAAAGGTGTCCTTTAGAGCTATGCAGTATGATGGAGTGAAACCTAAACTCCAGGTAGTGAACATGAATTATTTTTGTGACAATTATTTCCAATTAGGAAAAAAACCTCTGAGTCATGGAGCAGGGCTTCAACTTACACATGTACATCCATGGAGAAAAAGTGGCAGGGCATACTTAGCTGTTGCTAGTTTGGTCACATTATGAGCTATTTACTCAGAATCCCTTACTGGATTGTTGGTCTCTCCGCAGAACAGGAAAATGTGAGGGGAGTGTGTTTTTCCTCCATCACAGCGTATTATCTTACTTACATGGCATTAACCAGCACATCCAACACTAACAAATGAGATTTCCAATTATTCCTGTTTATTTTTCTGTGCCTCTATGAAGAACAGTATTTATTAGGAAGCAATAATCCAGGAGAGAGTTTTGCAGGTATTGATTGACAAGAAGTTCAACATGAGCAGGCAACATGCATTTGCAGCCCAGAAATCTGACCTTGTCCTGCGCTGCATCAGCAGCAGCACGACCAGCAGGATGATGGAGGTGGTTCTCCCTCCCTGCTGCACTCTTGTGAGACCCCACCTGCAGTGCTGCATCCAAGGGCTGGAGCAGCTCTGCTCTGGAGCCAGGCTGAGGGGGCTGGGAGTGCTCAGCCTGACAAGGGAAGGCTCCAGAGAGACCTCAGGGTCCCTCCAGTGCCTAAAGGGGCTCCAAGACAGCTGGAGAGGGACTTTGGACAAGGGCCTGGAATGACAGGACGAGAGGCAGTGGCTTTGTAGTGACAGAGGGCAGAGTCAGGTGGGATTTGGGAAGAAATTCTTGACTGTGGGGCTGGTGAGTCATTGGAAGAAATCACCCAGAGAAGCTGTGGCTGCCCCATCCCTGGAAGGGTCCTGGAAGTGATTTCCACCCCTGGAAGTGTCCAAGGCCAAGTTGGATGGATCTTGGAACAGCCTTATCTAGTGGGAGGTGTCCCTGCCCATTGGAACTGGATGATTTTTAAGGTCCCTTCCAACCCAAACCAGTCTGTGATTCCATGATACAGAGATGTTACAGGTCTCTGAATCAGCTCTTGGCCAATCTGCTGTTAAGGAATTCCTTTATGTGGGAAGCTGAGAAATTGTACATGCACATCTCTACTAAATCTTGCTTTCTGCAACAGGCAGAAACCAGGACTACTGCACAGATGTATAAGAGAAACAACTAAGCTGAAACAAAAATTTAGAGTGATCAGCCATCAGCAAAGATTCCTGCTGGCCAAGGAATCATGTAAATGCCAGAGCAAAAGGTGAACTTAGAGAAGTTAAATGTTCTTTTTCACCAACAGATTGTTGCCAATACTACACAAGTTATTACAAACTTTAAGTTTAAAAACCTATTATGGCACTTCACCTGTCACTTAATACTGAGCACTTTAGAAATAACAAGACCATTAATAAAAAGTAAATACAATTCTGCTATCCATTAACCTTTTTTGCAAACAGACACTCCAGCATTTGGCTGAAAAAAATACATTGTGATCTCTCCTCCAGAGCCATGGGTCCCACTCAGCATACATACCTTTGACATCAAGATTAAACACACCAGGAGCAGCTACACCCACAAGCCTCTGATGCTGGATGTGATCTAATTCACAACAGGTTACAACACCATTAAATCCACACGAGGCAGCAGGCTGATACAACTGTAAAAATCAATGGATCATGTGTTAAAGACTGCACTTTTTCCACAAATGAAGGACTGCATACAGAATTATATTAGAAACAGAGGCGTGTGTAAATAAGCAAAATGACCTTTGAAATTTGGAAATAGAATCAGAACATCTTTTCATTTTATTGACTTATTTGCTTCACAAGTAGATATGCATTTTTATGGCCTGTTCTGATGCTTATCTATCACATTGCATGTTCAGGTCCTGATTAACTTCCTGGGGTTACACTACAACCAGAAGCAGAATTTCTAAAGTACTCTGGTGAAGTTTTGTTTTTATAGCAATACTGACGTAATCAAACCCAGCAAGCTCTAGAAATGCTTTAGGAAAATATATTCCCATTGCTTGATTGCAGCATTTTTGGTTAAAATACCAGAATTCCCAAACCACACCTAGAATAAAAAGCACTGGGTTAAACTAAAGAGAAGGAAGTTTTATGGGGAAGTGTTAAGGCAGTCTTCCTAGCAGTCAATTAGGCACTTGAATCCCTAATCCAAGATCCACAGATGGTTAAAAAACAGTCTGGACAAACACATCATGAATAGATTCAAATACATGAAAAGCAGGATGTTCGTCTGGCTGGCCACAAAGGCTCCCTCCACCCTGCACCTATTTTATTCAAATACTATAGTATGACAACCAACTACATTTTTAGATAATTAGTTCTGAATTGTACTTCAGTACGGCATCAGCATTGCTCATCCCAAAAATCCTACTGTTTTTTTGAGAAACCATTTGCTTAAAAAAGCCAGACTGAGATACTGGAAGTTAAGTGTACCCAGGTAAAAATGCAAAAGTTTATATAGCAACTTACCAGATTGCAGATCCTAAGAAAAGCAGTTCCTTTCCCACTCCATAAACGTTCATTCTAAATATTTAGTGAATAAGCTGAATGCTTATTTTTGTATACATGTGTCTACAAAACGTATGGACTCTTACCGAAAAAACACTAAGAAAAATAAAGCCCCTTTTCACTATGTGCTATGCAGTGTGCCATGCCTTGCTTTTCAGAAATACTGTTTTTATCTGAGGCGTATAAGCTAAAATATCGATTTATAATGAAAATCTGATTATCTTAATTGCAATAAAGCAAACGATACACTTAAGAGGATGTGCATGCTCTTTCCAAGCAGCTTATTGTATTGCTGTATCAGTTAAGAAAGCAATATGCCATCTGCAGATGTTTATGTATGAAATCCTGCAGAGGGAAAACATTTGAGCTGCAGAACAGATTAAATAATTGAAAATGAAATTGCATGATAAGGTATTTGACAGGGTGGAGGGAAGCAGCACAGTGGAGGAAAATCCATCCCCATGACTACTGGTCCTTCCTCCTCCCTGCTCACTGCTGTTCATCTCCTCTTGGATTCCAGAGCTTGCTTTATTCCTCATCAGCCTTCCTACAGCCTGGCAGATTCAGTACTGCTGGAAAGTGGGGATCTGTGGTTTGTTTCAGACAGAGAAGAAAGGAGAGTTTAAGTATCGCTTTAGGAGACATGGCTTTGCTCTGGATTCTTTTATACAGAAAGAAGATGTGTTTGCTGGCTCTGAGGGAAAAGAAAAACTGTTAAAGCAGTGTGGATATGACTTGAATTTTTCATCAGGTAAGAAGTCAGAAAAATCAATAAAACTATGAAAAAAAGTTACTGAAATATCTTTTAAAGCATTATTTTATTATCTATAACCTATATTTAAATTTGACTGTAAATTTTCCTCCACATTTTATCTGTGCAATACTTAGGAACTTAATAAACAAGGTTTGTAATTGAAACATTTGTTGGTCACCTTGAAAGGATGGGACCGTTCATCTTTAGCATAGGTAAGAAAATTGTTAGGAAAGAAAGCCTTTCTAAAATTCATTTTACTTTAAACCTTTCTTTTGCTCATGAACATTTCAGTGATGTTTCTGCAGACAGAGGAATGAAGCAAGGGGGTTTATAATATCTTACAGTGTTAAACTCTTACTATGGTAGATAATCTTTTCCAAAATGCATGGGTTAGGGCTTGAAGCAATGAGTTCTTTTTGTTAAACCCTTCAATTCTGGTATCAGCTGTAGCTGTGATCCAAGGGTGCTGATTCCAATGACATTTATTTATTAGATTAAAAGATGCCAGTATGTATTACAATGTAGTTCAACATGCTGTAGTAAATACTAGAGTAACTTATTTTTTAATGCTATGAATATCCCAGCTGTTTACCAAGACAGGTGAATTTGTTTTATTGCCAAGGAAATGTTTAAATTGCCTCGCAGAATGGTGTGTACTAAAGACTGCACTCTTTAACTCCCGGCACAAACCAAAGAGTGAAAAGAAATTGCACATTTTTCTGAGAAAAGGCAGTGTAGATGGAGAGTGTGCCTAAAACTGATGTAGCAAGTGAACTGGTTAGGTCAGTACAGGGACTTTTCCTGAACAGAAAATGCCAGAGAAGCCCTACCATCCTGAATTCTTGGGAGAGGACATTCAGAATTTGCTATCAAACTGTGTTGTGCATCCATGGAGAAATAAGCAAGCTTAGCAAATAGTGCATAAAATATTACAAACTTGGCTCAGCCTCATGGCCTTTTGCAGCCCCCACAGCTTCTCCTGCTCACATAAAAAACAGGGAAGAGTTTGTCTTTGAAGGCATCAGGTCTGTGCCAGCCAGGTGGACACCACAGGCACTGCAGAGAAAGATCACCCCTGGGGCAAAGCAGCCAGGCTTTAGATCCCCACACTTCTGGTGGCAGTAAATCACATTGGGGCAACAACTGCCAATCTGCCATGCAGTGCCTCTGTCCTTCCAGCACAAGCATCCTTGGGTGTGAGAAACCCAGCCAGGCAGTCAGTGCTGCTCCAGGGAAAGGTGGGTGACAGTGCTCTCCAGGAAATAGGTGGCCTGAAGGGGCTGCTGCCAACCCCACCATCGGGTTCTGCAGGGTGTGACAGTCAGAGTCACAGCCCCTGGTCTCTCTCCTGGCCTCAGGAGCAGAAGAGTTTGTGGAGCCTGGTGGGCACACAGTAGAGTACCCAGCTCTTGCCCTACTGAAGTAGGGACACCTGCAAGGGACTGCAAAATCTATCAGAGCCACCAGGCTTCCATAGTTTTTGCAGCAGGATTATAGAGTTTTCCATGTCATTCCCCAGTATAGCTTTAACCAAGCCAGGTACATTCTGTAGAGAGACTACAGGGCTTAATGCTAGCCCTGACCACGATTTAAGTCATTTTGGGGACATCAGGGCCACACAGAGGCACATATATCTACAGCCACTCCCCACTCCAATGAGTATGCTGATTGAAAGAGTATTTTAATCAGAATGAAAATGGTAATAGATGCTCCAAAGGTGAGCATGGTGGTTTTTGGAGGTTTTTAAGATCCTAATTTGGAGCACCCAAGCTTATGCCAAAGAGAAGTATCAAGCTAAAGGAGTCCAGGATATAACTCTAGCTGGAATATTCTACAGAATCATAATTCCAGTTTACCCTGGATTTAGTGTTTAATTTTGCAACCAAAACTTTTAAGAATCCTTAGTGATTAAATAATGGCAATAATTTCTGTGAAAGGGCTGACAAATCTTCTACACATAAGCAGATTCTTTCTAGTAATAATAAAACATCCACCTATCCCCTCTTCTTTTTGTGTATCCTCTAAATTCCCACTTCTTCTTCATTCTGCTTTCTCCACAGGCTCTCAGCACCATTTCTAGGGGTGAAGAATGATCTCCTTCCAGCTAGTTTTCCAATAATTTCACAGAGGAATTAAGGTGAGTTGAAGTTGAGTTTTGAAAGATATATGTGTAGAACATATATCCATTACCCATTTTTAAATACCTCTTTTCATACTTAGCTTTTCCTTTCTCAGGTCGGAAACAATCTCTTTCTGGCCAGAAAGGTGGCAAGCCTATAAACTGAGATTAAGTTCTGCATTCAGTGATAAATTCAAACCCATCAAGATGTTATGTTGAACCTAACTCTTCCCATTAATAAAAGTTTTAAAACCACAGAACTGTTCTAATAGCAGATTTTTTGCTTGACTCCTGTTTAAGTTAGAGCTGAAAGAGGAGTTATTTTCTGTATAACTACAATGTGAATTTTATTTTGTTTACATTTTTCTCAGGTTAGATTTAGGAAAAAGGACATACTATCTTCAATGCATCAGTAGAACAGGAAACTCCCTTTTAGATATCATTCATAGAGGTTTTGAATGCCATTTGAGCTCAAGCACACATAACTTCGATTAATTCAGGAGGATTGAGTGTATTAACTCACATTGCTTTGTAGTTCTAAAGAAAATCTAAGTGTGATGTCTAAGCTAGCAGAGTGATGGCAGGACCCAATTCTTCTTTTTTGGTAATACAAAAGCAACAGATTATCCTCATTGGAATCCATTAAACCTTCTTAAATTTTCAGCAGAGGCAGATCTTAGAAAACTTTATTCTGAAAAGCAAACTTTATCCTCAACTGGTAAAAGAGGATTTGTGTGAAAGTGTCTGTACAAGTTCAGTCAGAGCTCCTATCACAGCTTTTTCTTGTGTATTAGTTATAGATCTGTAGCAGTGTCAGTGCAGAACCTCAGAAAGGTGACATCAACCTCCTTCCACAGGGACACATAAACCCACTAATAACCATCTGCTTTTCCAGTACTCTAATTAATCATGTTAGGTTTGCTCAAAACTTTAAGGACACTGACTATAATGATAGACCCACAGTACTCACTGCTCTGAAAATCCCCATGCAAAGTATATTCTAAATAATACAAGGTTTTGTCCATAGGTTGGAAGATGCTTCAGGATGGATAAAGCTGTTCAGCACACCAGCGAGATCCTGAATCAAACTATCTCTAACATTAGCCTCTCTCAGTTCTTGAACTTTGATACATGCCACCTTTCCTCCCTTGCAGAATTCTTGCTTATTACAGCTTACACACTGGTTACACTAGTGGGGCTTGTTGGAAATCTTTGCCTAATTATTATAATAAAGAGACGGAAAGAAGCTCAAAATGTCACCAACATTTTGATTGCCAACCTCTCTTTATCAGATGTCTTGATCTGTATCATGTGCATTCCTGTCACAGTTGCATACACCTTAATGGACCACTGGATATTTGGGGAAGCAATGTGTAAAATAGGCTCTTTCATACAAAGCCTATCTGTCTCAGTCTCCATTTTCTCACTTGTACTCATTGCTGTTGAGAGATATCAGTTAATTGTGAACCCACGTGGCTGGAAGCCTAATATTTCACATGCTTATTGGGGAATCCTTTTCATCTGGGGGCTTTCCCTCATCATATCCACTCCTTTTTTACTATTCCACCAAATAACAGATGAACCCTTCAAACATTTGTCTTTCCACAGTGATTTCTACAAGAACAAGGTCGCTTGCATCGAAGCGTGGCCGTCTCTTACAGAGAGACTGATTTTCACCACTAGCCTGCTGGTTTTCCAGTACTGCTTCCCACTGGGTTTTATTTTTGTCTGCTATCTCAGGATATTTGTGTGTCTTCGACGGAGACGAGGTAAAATAGACAGGATGAGAGAGAATGAGAGCAGGCTGAGTGAAAGCAAAAGGATCAATATGATGCTGGTATCAATCGTGGTGACCTTTGCAGCTTGCTGGTTGCCTCTCAATATATTCAATGTGGTCTTTGACTGGAACTACGAGGCACTAATGAGCTGTAATCATAACCTGGCATTTACAATCTGCCACCTCGTGGCCATGATCTCAACATGTATCAATCCCATCTTTTATGGATTTCTGAACAGGAACTTTCAGAAGGATTTGGTAGTATTAGCTCACCACTGCAGATGCTCAGCACCACAAGAGGAATATGAAAATATTGCCCTTTCAAACCTGCAAACAGATGCATCTAAGGGGTCTCTGAAGTTAAATAATGCCCATGTGGATATATAAGATAATCTAACTGCAGTTTCCAAAATTCTGTATTTTGCTGCAGATGGCCTTTTTCTGCAGGTCTTGGGCATGTTACCACCAAGTTTAGAGGAAGTCTTTGCTATTTAGTTCAGCAAAACCAGCATTATGCTCCCATAGGCATAGTCTTAACAAGTACTTTATGATAGGATTAATGCTGGTAAAACCACTTCCAACAGCCCTAAAGATCAATCATAATAAAATATAAGCAGTATTAACATCTTAATTTTTTTAATCCACAGTTTCCAAGTCACTGGCATGTTACCTTAACTCCAATAAAAATGTTTCCATTTCAGCCACTGATGGGGATGTCCTTCTTAAATGCCAGCCTCCCCCAGGCAAACCCTGAACCCTGTGCTATTCCTAACTTCAGCAGCCTTTCACACACTGTTTTCTGGCATTTTTATTTTCCAGCCCTACACCAATGCCCTCTATGATGAATCTGCAGTTGAGAGGCAGTTATCACTGTAAGGAAGGCCCTTGAAGTTATCCTAAGACTCCACCACCTTCCTTTCAGCCCCCTCATGCAGTTTGCTTTGGCTTAGTACCAGTTCAGCCCAGAAATTGTATTTTAACAAGGGAAAAGGCTAGAGCTGGACTTCTTTTTTTATGAACACTGAAACAGGACCCATTTCATGTACTGCAAGTTTCACTCAGAATGACGTTCAAGATGAAATATATATTTAGCATTTCTCCTAAAAGCATTGCATTCTCCAAAGCACCAGTAAAGATCATTCATTGTTTTCTCTCTTACCATCCTCACTGCTCCTTACAACAGACCTTTTAGAATCTCCATTATCAAAACAACCCACTATGAATTCAGAGTAAATTTTGCTCTAGCTACTTACTTGGATTTCTCTTTGAGTAGAAAATTAGGTTTGCATTTTAATTTCAGCAATATTTTCCCCCACTTTTCTGCACCAGCAAGAGGGCACGCTTGAGCAGATGTGGTCATTTCTGTTCACAGAAACTCAATTTCTGTGTTTGAAAGTGGCTTCTTTTGTAACACAATACAAAGAAGCCTAGAGGGATGATACTGAACCCAACTTTTCTTAAACTAAAACATTTTAAAAGCCAATTTCCAGTGTGGCCATAAAAAAAGTAGTCAAACTTTTTCTTCATCCATGACATAGTGGCAACATAAATAATCATAAATAAACATAATATTGAGATGTTTAAATACAGTACTTAGAATACTTTAGTCCAAAAACTCACCATGCTTTCTCTTGTTCAAATTAAAGATAATTAATTACTTGTACTGCTAAAGCCCCCTCTTTTTTTTTTCTTTTGAGTTTCAAAACCCCCTTCTAACACTTGTACATAAGGTTCCTTGTAAAGTATTCTCTAACTTTAGCAATTTATTAATGCCCCACTTAAGCAAAAAGAATTCACATTCAAATTTCAGTGAGCTCCTTGATGACTCAGCTGTGATGAAACTCACCTTAAGGCTGTGAAGTTCTTTTGAGGAAACACTGCTTTCCTCAACCATCCAGTTCCTAGAGGGCTCAGGCACAGCTCTCTTGTTCCAGCATTAGTTCAGACTGCACTACTCTGCTCATCAGAGGAGCTCTGTCACAAAAGTCTCAGCAGCTCCTGCAGGTACTCAGGTTTGTTTAGTGCGCCCTGATTCACACTGAGATAAAAAACCTGGGTGAAATCTCTTAGTGTCTGAACCCTTAGAAGTCATAAGGGCATAACAAGAGCAAGACTGGCAGAATTAGTGATATGGTAATCAAGTATCTGAGTGATAGGTATGGATTAATTTGGCATAATTTAGGGGTTTTTTCCTAATTAAATCGAATATAACGCATTTGGAATAGATTAGACAAACCTTAACACCTGTCTTGTGCATCATAGAAAGAAACCAGGAGATAGCTAAATACCTAAGAAAGGCCAATGATCAGACTGTTGAGAGTATCTCAGCATTAACTATTTCTGTGAACTTCAACCCAGGTCACTGGGCTGCCTTTACTGCTGATGCACATCATCTGTTTGCTCAGCACAGCAGGCATTTCACAGAGTTAAAAGCAGTAACTTGCCGTCAATGACACTGGGGCTGTGCATGGTCAGAGGGGCTGTGCTTTGGTGCAGGGGAGGGGATGGAGCTGCTTCTCTCACCACTGAGACTCCTCAGTAACAAAGCGATTCTCTGTCTTCATCGCACCTGGCTAAACTGAGAGCAAATCTGCTCCAGGAACTTCACTTTTCTTGAGGATCCCAGTATCTGTATTGAAAACCATCTACTCCTGTCAGAAGGTCATTTCCTGAACAAATGTGTTTTAACAAATGCTGGTGTCACACCTGCTAGAGGCTGGGCTATCAACTGTATTTCCCTGGGTTTGGAACACAAATCTCTATCACCATCTTCCTCAAATTTAACTACACTGCTTACAGCTTCAGGGCCCATGCTTAAAGCATTTTAAAAGCACATGGCATTCACAATTTATTCTAATTTATTAATACTAGCACAGCAGTTCAGGTTACTTTCATTGGCAAATGTCTCAGAGAGTATTTAATGTTTGAATCAGGCCCAGCTGAGATTCCCACGTGTGAACTTGGCCTAAGTGGCTCCCATCCCATCCCATCCCATTCCATCCACAAGCCCAGGTGTGCTTACTTTTACAGCAGAGGTGGTTTTAGTATCATGTCCCAAGTGGTTTTAAAACAGCCATGAAATGAATTCTGGTTCAGATTTTGTGATGCTGATGGATGGTCTCTCTGCTGTCTCTCCATAGAAGTGCTTGGGCAGTATGTATTAGGCAAAAAAAAAAGAAGATTGCCATCACTTTTTGTAATAGCAATTGTCTACTCCTGACATTCTGATCAGATTTGAGCACTCAATTTTTCCTTCCAGTCTGAAAATCTTGGTATAAGAGGGTTCTTCATTAGCAGGTGGGAGCTCTTGGAGCAATGACGCTGCTTCAGAATCAAAAGTGAACAACAATACTTGTGCCTTGATTTCTCCTTCTCATTTCTTTCTCACACTTTCACTTGACTCAAGTGTTGATGGATGCTCCATTTCTGTTCTGATCATTCAGTCATCAAGCATCTCTCCTTAGAGCTGCACTTGTAACAATCATAGTTAACAGAGCAGAGGATCCTCACTGTCTCAGACGTCGTCCTCAGCGCTGCACATCCTCTCTCTACATCCACTGCCTTCCTGTGCCTCCTGATACTGAACTTCCAAGCAAGTCAGGAGGAGCCAATTGACTGTGGCAGGAATAGGAACAAAGAGTAATTACTTGTTTTTAAAGCCTAAGTATTATGGACTCCAACATGGTGTGTGACAGCTGTAAATGTAACTGCAATACCTGATACTTAAAGATTGCTCAAGTTCAACTGGCAAATGTTGCCCTGTCTTGGGTGATGCTGGTGACTTTATTTTCCCTTGTTTTATTGGTATAGCCAAGTAGAAAAAATACTAACAGCATTCCTCAGCAGAAAGTTGTTACCTGATGCAACCAGCTGAAGAACTGTGAGCTTCCTTGGGGAAGCAGCACCATGAACTAACTACAGAAAGCTAGAGGGGAAACCTGAACTCCCAGATGCTATTCCAGTGTAGAAAGTCTTTGTTTTTAAAAAATAAAAACTGCATCAGAGCTTTGTTTGAGCAGTTTGGTCATGCAGACCAGACCAATATGTTTATAAACATCCTTGTAAATGAACTATGTCCTTATATGTCTGTATTTTACGGTTGATTGGTTTCACTTTAAGCACTTATAACCTTATAACTAGGGTTAGATACTTGGGAACTGCCATTCACTGTGGAAATTATTCCATTGAGTAAAGAGCTCAATTGATTATTGACTGTAATCCTGTCTGTGGACAGAGGCAGTGCCAGTGCTGTATGTGATTTAAAGTTTTTGATTTCTCCCACTGACTGACAAATAAATATTACCCTGTGTAAAACCATCCCCCTGCCCAGCTGGTGAATTGTACTGTCTGTGACTGGGATAGGACACTTCTCATTCAAACAGGGCACCAGAGCACCAAGAATCAGCAAAAGGTCCAAAGAAAGATCCAAAGTTCCAAGAGAAATCCAGAGCCTGCTGCAGGTCAGAGGGATGGCTATGGAGCCATGGCTCAAGGGCACAAAGGTACTCAGGAAGGAACCAGACCAAACTTCAGATGTGTGAGGGAGCTGCTGACCCAGAGGATACAAAGGAGAAGGGGAAGAAGACACAAAGACTGCTTTGAGGAGAAGGGGTGACCTCCAGAGATGTCCTGACAAACCCAGAGGGGTGCAAAGTGTGCTCCAGAGACAGCAGTGTGCTAAGGTGATCCTTTAAAGCATCAGGATGAGAGAAGAGGGAAAAAAAAAGACACATAAAAATTAAAAAGCAACAGGGTATGTGACAAATGAGAAAAAACCCAAAATAATAGCTATAGACAACCCAACAAAAGGAAACAGAAAGAAAAATTTTAAAAGACAAGGAGTACAAGGCAGAGGAAAACAAAATGTAAACAGGGACAAAAAATAAGAGGAGAGCAAATCTGTAGCAAAGCTTCAAAGCTTTGAGGAGCCTCACAATGAAGGGTCAGACAGGCTGCAGGATTGAGTGGAACCTCACAGACTCCATAAACAACATTGCCCCTTCAATTCTATGCTAATAAGACACTTAGAAATATTCCACAATGGCAACTGTAGAATTATCTTGTCTGCTATCACTCATTTTTAAACAAGGTTCCTTTGGTTTCCATGCAAATGCACTGACTGATGCCTTTTATTTAATTTCCATTTCATTTCATTTCACTTCATTTCATTTCTTTCATTTCATTTCATAGATTTCTCCATTAGTCACAGGCTATTTACATAATGTCATGGAATTGGCACGTGTGGAGCTATTCTCTGCAGAATTCACTTCACCCTCACTTCACCTGGTGAGGAAAACCTGTTAATTCACATAGATGTCAGGGTTGTAAGACTCCATGAATTAGTTCTTCCAGCTAGGAATGGCTACTAGAGTCACAAGAAGCTCTGAAAGTTTGGGTTCTCTCTAAAGAGAATCTCTCACCCCGCCTTGGCAGCTCCATTTTTGGCTGCAGACTCCTGCAGTGCTCGATCGCAGGGACTCAGAGCCGCAGTACGGAGGGGCTGGCAGGGGCACAGAGCTCCCAGGCACCGAGTCCTGCACAGCCTCCACCTCCCCAGGCTCCCAGGGCACCCTGACATTGCCCAGCACACACAAACCTCTCCTGTCCTCAGGAAGGGCCAACAGATTTGTATACTAACAAGTTACAGAATGTCTACTTTTGGTACTGCACTTATTTGGGTGGTGTAGTTGTGTCTATTCCCAGACCTTCTGACCATGTGAGCAGGTCAAGTCTTCACCCACACCAAATGCACCATTCGCTCCTGCCCTGGGAAGAAATCAGAGATCTCCTTGGGACTGGTGTCATCCAACATCAAATCCATGCCCAAGGCAGGCTGGGCTTTCCCCTGGAACTGACTCTCAAGGCCCCTTGCTGCAGGTGCTGTCTGTCTGCAGCTCCTTGTGGAGGGTAGGAGCAGGGGGAGCTCTGGAAAATGTCACACTCAGGTGGTTTTGTGCCACCATCTGTGTTAGTGACCATAAACCTGACCCCAAGAGAGGACATTCTGCAGGACACCACAGCCTCTGAGCACTGCAGAACCTCCTGCCAACCCAGCAGGGTCAGACCCCCAGTGTTTGGCAGACAGAGCCCCCAAAACCTGTATTGAGGGCATAACCATCTTTTTGAAATGCTCTTTATTAACTAAAACCTGCTAAAACTTCACCTGCATTTAGGCATTCAAACAAAACCACTGGCGTACTGCACTGAGTCGTCAGCTGAAGGAAGGGAAGTCCTGTGACTGAGTGGGAACAAGATTCCTGGCTTCTCATTAAAGATGAATTTGAGACTCCTTTAAAAAATTGCCACAAAATTAGCATTGAATCTGAAAGCAAAATCTGAGTTGACTGAAAGGTCAACAAACACAGGGAGATAATTACTGCTTGATGTTCCAGGAAACCCAGGCTCTGACACTAAATTTAAAAAGAAAGCCTTTGATGAATGATAACAAAAACTTTCTTTCTTCCCATCCCCATCATGCAAACAGACCAGACACAGACATACTGAGGGCATTATGTAAGAAAAACCAACAATCATGGAAGTTCAAGTATCCTGTTAAACCTCACATCTTTATTCACTGAGATACACAAAAATCAAATATTTCAAGGGAAATAGTTTTGGGGTTTTTTGTTAGCCTCATTTACTTTGCTGACTTATCAATTTACAGAGTTGATTAACTTTTGCTTTGAGCTCTTGCCTCTTTCTAAAGAAAAATACACAGTGTATTAAGATTTTAGGAGTACTCAAGCCATGTTAAAAGGCTGAGGTGAGTGATAAAATACTTTCAGTGTGTTTCTGCATGGAGGGGATCTGCAGCAGCTGTACAAAAAACATCTGAGAATAGCAGCAGCAAGTTATGAGCAAAAACAAATTATGAACAAAGAAAAACTGTGAACAGTCAAATTAATTTAATCAAGGGTTACTGTACATCTGCTGCTAAGAAATAATAGCTGCTTCTTGTTTTCTTGGAAAAGCTAAAAAAAGTCAGCTGCTAGTTTAACAATTAAGTGGAATTTTAAAATATGCAGAATGACTGAACTATTAAGGATGTGAAGGGGCCTCTTGATAACATCTAATCTAACCCCCCATGCTCAGTAAGATAAAATGCTTTTCTGAAGTATAATCATAAATTCACATGATTAAAACTTCACCAGAAAGCTGCTCCTGGGCGGGTGTTGCTGAACCACCACTGACCCCGCCAGATGTTTGGTGCTGCTCCAGTTCAGGATCTCCCCACGCTGAAGGGTTATTGTTTTCTTTGTCCCAGTTCATGTTGCTGACAAACTGGGAGTTGAGCTCTCTTACAAAAACCAAAATCTCTGAGTGGAGACCACTTCAGCTGCCCGTATGAAGGCAGAGGTGAGCAGATGTGATGTGGAGCTGCTGATGGAAGAGGCATGAGCCTGGTAGGTCTGGGCAGATGTGCAAGCAAAACAATAATTTTGGTTTCCTTTTTTTTTTTCATGCAACAGAACAAAGCAGGGCTGAAATCAATAGAAATCCATTTCCTGCCCACTTCATCTCTGGGATCCTGATGGGTTTGGAAGTTAACATTTCAGTACATGGTACAGATAGAGAAACAGACACCAGCAGAACCACCTTAGGTGACCAGAATCCAGCGATCCTGCAAATTACTGCCATCTGCATTTTATATTAAATATATCTAGAGGATGCTTGTCAAATTTGATCTTCATGAGTATCTGTCAACCTTTTATACTGACTTCATTTGCTTTACCTGGAGAGCAGTCGAGCTGCTCCCCAAGGCAGGCATTACTCACATGCCACCTTTAACAATCAGATTAGCACCGTGTTTGCTCTAAAAGCTGAAACCTCGGTGCTCAGCATTGAAATGAGATCTGAACACAGCTCACACAGCCTGGCCCGAGCTCCAGCCCTGTCTTGGACAGGTCTGAGCTCACCATATGGTGCTCCTGCTCCGCCTCTGCTATTTCTAGCTTCCAGCTCTATTGGAATTGTGATGGAAAGATTTATAAATAAGGTTTTGGTGCCAAGATGTCTGCTCTGCACACCATAAACTTTCCTTGCAGGTAGTTGAATCAGCATTGTGCTATGCAGCCATCATAGTACAGGTTCACACACCCTGCTCTTCCTTTAGCCAAGTCCTCAGACCTACTTTTACCCACTTTGCCTTCTCTCCTGCTCTTCTTGCAAACCTGTGTGCCTGAATTTAAGTTTGCTTTGGCTCTGACATTATTTAACCAGATGGAAAGAAAGATAACTTATACTCTATGCAATGAAATGAGTCCTTCACTCCTTGAACACCTCATTCTAACACTTACCCAAAACCCACCCTCAGCACAAGGTGCCAGCACAGGCAGACCTGGCCAGCCCTGTGCCCCCACCCCATGCCCACCCTGTGCCCCCACCCCATGCCCAGCCCTCTGGGCATAGCTTCCTCATAAAGTCAGGTGGAAAACCAGGTACTGACAACTCCTTCTTATCAAAAGTTGCCCACATCCCAGTGTCAGCTTTAGGCAACACTAAATATAAAGTAACAGTTCCCCTACGAGCATTCATTTCTAGATAAATTGTTCCAAAGAATTTTGGGTAGACCAAACATTCCTTTCAAATCAAGTGATTCAGGCTGTATAAAACCC